TCCACTTGGATCTTGGATTTGCCTCATATCTGATTCTGTATTGCCCTGACCAACCTGCCGTGTCCTCACTCCCTTTCTGCCCAAACCCATCCATTCTCATGGCTTCAGTTATTGTTTCTATATGGATTACTTCAGGTTGATATCACTAACCAAGACCTCTCACGGAAAACCAGAATAACATTTCCAGTTGCCTTCTGGTCACCTCAACATGGATGTCACACCAAGAAACTCAACACATCCCAAACTAACTTGATTATATTTTCTGCCAAACCTATTTCCCCTTTTGTGTTTCCTATTTCACTTAGTGGCGTCATTGTCTTTTATTCAGCCAAGGTAGACGATATGGAGTCCTCTTTGACTCTTCATTTTTCTCAATTCAACATCATATTCTATTAACTTCATATCCTATTAATTACTTACTTACATAAGGCACACTGGTAAGTACATTAAGTGAATTTTCCCAATCAATTTTTCAACTACATGCTGCATTATTCTTATTTTATAGGTAAGAAAACAGAAACTTTGAGGTTCACAGCCAAATGATGAGGTCACAATTGGAACTCAAGCCTGTTTATTTCCAAAGTTAGTGGCTTTATCTGTCTTTTCAATTTGCCCTCTCCTCTCTTTTTCCACTGCTGTTGCCCCAGATCAGATCATTACAGTAGAAGCTCTGTTAGCCAGTCCCCAATTAGTCATAGCACCTCATTAACAACACTCTCCAATCCCCTTTCATACTCATCGCTGGAGACTAGTAGAAGACTGTTTGGTATGTTGAACTTTCCTGGTCCCACCAGTTTAGTTGAATGTTTACCAAGAAACAGTTGTATTTTGTTTCCAAGCCAGTCAATGCAGTGGTACTTTTTATTATGTTACAAAATTTACTTAAATACTATATAAAACAATGAAATATGAGTGCGAAAGAGAGTTAGCCATTCCTATGAAAACTAAGTTGAATACTTTTGGTAAGACTTAATGAGAGAGAGTGGCTGAAAATATTATAATCCAAATAAATGTGAGAAAGGTGAACCAAAAATGATTGGGAAAAACTTGTAAAAATTTCTTTAAGATTCTGCACTCTGATTGGCCTTTTGCTGCAATATAAAGAAACAGAAACATAGGTGTGGCTCATGCAAGAAAAACGGTGCAAAACTCCAATTAGTAGTTCTATACTCAAAGGAAGGGCCTTGGCACTCTATTATACAATTGCTGGATGAATGTACCCATATATGTCTTGTTATAATATCTAAGGTAAGTGTATCTGCCTTTTTTATTCTCTGCTTTAACAGCTTACACAAATGACTGACCAAATTCAGTCCCTGATATCATTGAATGAGAGACTTTCTCACCTTATCTCCCATTATCTTCCAAACAGTAACAGTACCTTTTATCTGACTTCCTAGTCTTCAGTCATCATTTTTCCATTCAGTTAACGAATACTTTTTAGGAGCCTATTGATTACCAGTATTACCTTCTTAGAACTCAGATCTAAGCCTCTCACTCCTCTGCTCACAATAACTCAGTGACTTTCCATTGTCTACAGAATGAAACTAAAAGTAATTAGCAGAATATTAAAGACCTGCGGTGCTCTCATCCACCTACGTTTTTAGCTTTAGCTCCTAACATAGTACTCCATATCCTCTAAGCTTCAGTCACCCTCACCCCAGCTGTTACCCAAACACATGACACTTTTCAGCATTCATTCAGAGACAGCCTGAGGTGAGCTCTATATTCGTAACTCTCATAATTTTACTCGTTACTGAAAATAGTAGTTTATAGTGGGAAATATATCGTTCATAGAAATTATATATTACAGAAAATGCTAAAAGCATCTGAATAAATTTCAAGTTGTAAAGTCAAGAGTATCACACAATGCATAGTCTGAGGGTGGAGGTGGAAAGTGTTAACTTGCCTTTAATAATCAGAAATTTAGATTTCTCTATCCTCGAGACAATTTAGTAAAGGTTTAAAAGTCTGCATAGAAATGATAACTTGAAAACCCTTATCCAGTTGTCTAATCAGGAAAGGTTCCTAATTCCTGGGTGACAAATATCAGTAGGCTGTTGTGTCATTACTATTCTCAGTTGTCTCTTCCTCTCATTCACTTTCTTTCCCTGAGAAGTCTTACTCCTGTGGACTGTCTTAGCTGCCACTACTGCTTAGAACTCTTTAAATGTCCATCTCAGCCAGAGCACCTCCATCAGTTCCACTCTTCTCTTTTCAATCGCTTGTGCGTATTTTCACTTGGCAAACACTGTCCAACATACCAGAGTTTAAAATGGAACTTTCCCAGTGAACTCATTTTCCTCTGCTTTCTGTCTGTAGGACCACCACATCCAAGGTTTTGGAGCTGTCCACAGCTCTTGGGGGACTGCTTTGCTCTTTGCTCTTCCTCAGGCCACAACTGGTTGCTGATTATTTCTTCCTATGAAGATTGAGTGTTTAAGGGCTTTGGAAACTGTAAGAGTACTTGCCCTCTGCAGTTAAACTTCTTGAAATATTTGTCCACACTCACTGTATTCACACTGTTACCTCTTGTTCATTTCTCTACCCAGTGTAATTTGGCTTCTGTCCCTGAACTTTTACTGAAGCTGTTCTCATCAAGGTCACGCATTATTGCCTTGATGCTAAATTTAATAGACATGTCTCAGTTGTCAACCTAACTTCTTGTAGACTTTGATATTTAGAACACTCTTTCTACTTGAAATGAATTCTTGCCTCAGCTGCTGTGACACCTCTCTATCTCTCAGAGTGCTTTGTTGTACTATTCTTTTTAAGCTCCTTTCTTCTGCTCTTTTAAAAAATGTGTCTGTTCATCAGAGTCCTGAGTCTTCTTGTCTTCTCCCTCTACACACTCCTCTAAGCAATCTCATCCATTTCCATGGCTTTAGTCACCACCTCTGCCCATGATCACTAGCTCTCTAACCCCAGGCCTGTTATTCATATGAGCTCTCAAGATGCACATATCTAACTGCTTCTGGACTTGTCCTCGTGGATATTGCATAGGCACATCGACTTCAACCTGCTTGAAACTCATTTTACAAAAATGCGAAAATACTCGTCCTACTTGCCTATCTTAGTGGGTGGTACCATTGAGTATCCATTTGCTCAAGCCTAAAATTATAGCTGTCCGTCTCGACTTCTCCTTTTTCTTCCTTATTCTCCAATTAATATCAAAGCCCTATGAACTCTACTTTTGAAATATTTCTTAAATCCATCCACTTTCCCATCCCTTCTGCACTATATGGTTCAACCCATGATAATATCTTCTGTAGATTTCTGCAACAGTCTTCTAAATGGGCTCCCTGCCTCCACGCCATCCCTTCTCCAATCAGTTTTCCAGGCTGCAGCAAAATTCTTCTTTCTAAACATACAAATTTAATCATATCACTTCCCAAGTGCATTAATTCTAATTTCTTTCACATGTTTAAGGGCCCTTTGCGATCAACCCCCTTGCCTCTGAGCTCCAATTCTCTCACACTCTGTGGTGCTTCTTTAAGCTCTCAGACTGCATCAGTTCTCTACCTACGGACCTAGGTCATCCCCAGGAATCTGCTCCTCTCTCATCAGGCTCTCCTCTGCTTATGACCTCCTCACCACCCCCCCCCCCCAGTACGTTTTATTCATTCAGCATACTTTTGGGACACTTACTATGCACCAGGCCTTGTTCCAGGTGCTAAGAACACAGTAGGGAGCAAAGTGGGCATGTTGTGCTGAACGCGTGAGGCTCAGAGTCTACTGGACAGATAGACAAGCAAACTTAAGCCATCACAGACTTTTGTGATGAGAGGGGACACTGGGAGCTCCAAGAGCCCAGATGAGGGCATCTCACTCAGGCTGGGAGCAGGAGGCTTCCTAAGGGCGGTGTTATTTGGAGTGTTAGACTCGAGAAGAAGTAGAAAGATAAGAAGCCAGGGAGTTTAACAAAGACGTCAAAATCTTATCTCTTTTTTCTCTTTAAATCTTTCTTATCTCTTCTGCTTTTTCTTTTCCCCTCTCACTCTTCTTAATTCTTGTCCTTCTCCTTCTCCCGCTACCTCCATTCTTTAAATAAGCCCTTTGGTTGTTTCCTATTGTTCTTCACCCCTAGAAATTAACTATTCTTTTCCTTCACTGGTGGCAGCCATTTTCATACAAGCACTCTCAGCCCTTCAGCAAACCCACCAGCTCCCTTTCTTCAAGTCTCTCCTCAAGGTGAAAACGAAGAAATCTCATCCCTTATAGCAGCCACGTTGTCCGTCTCTTGCACAAAGCTATCAACTATCTTGTAGCTAACTAAGGTCATGCCCAAATGTTCCTTTTTTTTCCTTGTCCTGTACACAGTTCCAATTGTCCATTTGTCTGTTCATATTTTCCAGTTGCCCACCATGTCATATTTTCTATAGGAAATAGACAACCCATGATCTCCCCTCATTGTCCAAAATAATACTGCACAGATCAGGTTTAAGAAGCCTTTCCTCATAGCTTTGAGATTCCTGTCAGACCTTAGGCTCCCGAGAAGAGCGTGGTGGTAAGGTTTCTAGACTTTCTTGAGCTTTATTCTAGGCCATAGCAATACCTCTTACATATAGTAAAAATTAATGATCAGCTAACCCCACCCCACAAATCTCTCAACTTTCTTCTTTTAGAGGGCCATATCATGTTAAAAAAATTTAGTGCCCTTAGGACTTGTTATTTTACATAGACCTCCCATTCCAGAAGTGGTTCCCATTTTAAAAGGTTTCAATAAGATGGGAAATATCCTAGGATGAATTCGCAGTCACCCCCCATCTCCTATCCTCCCTGGGGTAAAGGCGAGGGTGGCTTTACCCATGATCAGTCAGTGGCTATAGGTGGCTGCCTTGCATCAGGAATATCATCGTTTTCCTCACTAACCACAGCCTGAAGATTTGGCAGCAGTTGGTGCTTATACATAAAAGGAAGCTAATTACTTGATTTCATTCTTTTGTTGGAACATTTTCCTACCTACTTGCAAATAATCTTCCCTTTCCTTTAACAGTTCCCCTCTGAAGAGATCAACAATAGTACATTCATCAGAAGAGCTGCAGTTGGAGCCTTGGAGGAGACAACGGAAGGCTGGGACGAGGGGGGCCGGGCTAGAGGTCAGTGTCCACCGGCTTCTGGGCAATTGGCCTCCCAGTCTCTCCAAAGGGAACTCTTAACAGAGGCAGATGGAGACTTCCATTTAATTCCTTGTACCTAAAAATATACATATATATGTAATTGTTTCACCCATAAAAGCAGTCATGTTTCTATAACAATGGCTTCATTCAGGGCTTTCAAGGGTCATTAATGCCAGTTCTTTTGGGGACTTTATGAGCAATCATTTCTTGATCTGAAGCAAAAGAAGAATCGGAACACGAGCCTGCCTTTTTAAATTTTGTTTTGGGGAAAGAACAAAAGACAGCACCTGAGCGCTTTAATCTTGGGCACTTTTGTGATGACACTAGACACAGGGGCACTGTATGCATCTGTGACCTGTAAGGTCTATAGCACTTTATTTGGTTTTGATTGTGCTTTCACAGAGAACTTAACTGGTCAATAAAGACAAATCGTGGAAAGGGCAGTTAATAGAACAACATGTAGATACTTTTACATGCCATCTGGCAAATCTTGATAATAATACAAAGTGGCTGAAAATTTTTTAAAAGCCTCATCCACTCTGAAAAAGATTCTGTGCTTATTGTTCTTTAACATTTCCAGTGTACATTTGGAAATGTAAAAGCAGAGTTGCCACATATGGGATCTGATCAAAGGGGTGAATGGGAGTGAGTAGGGCCAAAATCAGGCTAGTGCTCTGACCACCGAGCCCTATGCCCTGGCTCCCTCTAATTCATATACGTGGGCCAGTGGAAGCTCTGTTTAAGAGACTGAATAATAGAAAATTTACAAATAATCTAAATATCCAATAATAAGGCACTGGTTGAATAATACATAGAATTATTAAATGAAATCATTAAAACAGTGGTATATATGTATATGACTAAAGGAAAAAGCAGGTTATAAAATAGAATGTAATATATAACCCTATTTTTGTGAAAGAAATATATGTAAATACACAGAAATACAAATATGTACTATATATGTATAAGTGTGTGTGTATGTATATACGCACACATTCTATCTATCTGTCTTTCTATTCAGGGAAAAAACTGGAGGAATACACACCAAAATGTTGACTGCAGTTATCTCTGATTAAGTTTGGGAGTGACTTGACTTTTTTTTTCCTCCTGACGAAAGTACACTGACTTCATTGTGTTTGTGTGTTTGTGTGTGTGATGGTTATATTTTGCATAAGAACAAAAAAGTTAAAACACTAAATAGTGGATTGAGGCTTAAAAAGATAACAACTAATAATAGTTATTTTAAAATATTTGTGAACTAGAAACCTGAAATAGCTTTTAAAACCATCTGGGCAAGTTAAAGAGAAAGTCTAAACAGTCTGAGGTCAAAATATTATTCACTGTTTGATTTGGCCAGTTTTCCAACTGTAATAACTATGGCTTTATGACAACATCTTCACAAGCCAAAAATAGATGTTAAAATGAATCATCAATTTAGAAAGTAATTATAAAGTAATCCTATCTCTGATATTGATTGCATGTAATAATCCCATTCAAAAGAGTAATACTATATTCCCTTTACTCTTTGTGATTTATTACTGCAATGCTCAAAGAGATACAGAATGTAAAGGAATTATGTATTTGGGACTATGCATTAGTTTTATTAGGGAAAAGAGATGTGTTTAGATGTGGCTTTCATTCCCTGCCTTCTCCTTTTGGAAGAATTACATTCTGATTAGTCCTTGAGACAAGAGGCTGAGGCTCATATTTATCAACACGTATTAGCGTATCTATCAGGCATTGTACTGGTACATTTAACATTCACACCAATCCTGCAAGACAGCTATTTACCATTGAGGAGACCGAGGCTCAGAGAAATTTCCTAATTTCTCTATGTTCACACAGCCGGTAAGGTGGTGGTACCAAGATTCATACTCAAGTCTTTCTGACCCCAAAGACTCTACTCTCTCCAATAAGCTACAGTTATAACGTTCTATGGTGGTAGATTGTATTATTTTTTGAAATTATTCCATTTGCCCTTTTCTACAAGAAGATTATACATCCTGCACCATAGCCTTTGGATGTGACGATGTGACCTGCTTTGGCCATTGGAGAGTAAGCAGATGTGATGAACACTACATCCTTTAGGAGGCATCATGGGTTTTTGTCAGCTCACTTGCTCTTTTCCCTCTGTATATGAATGTCCCAGGTAGGGAAGCTCCTTCAATATGGATCCCAGAATGTGAAGACAAGTGGAGTAGAGCTGAGCAGAGTCTCAGCAGCTGCCACTCCAAAGCTGCCAATGTGTGAACAAGTGTGCATTCATTTTCTATTGCTGCATAACAAATTACCACAAATTTAGCATCTTAAAACCACAAATTTATTATCTCAAAGTTTCTGTAGGTCAGATGTCTGGGCATGGCGCTATTGATTACCTGCTTAGGGTCTCAATGGGCTGAAATCAAGGTGCTGGCTGCTTTTCTCATCTGGGGTCTAGGGTTCTCTTCTGAGCTTGCTGGTCATTGGCAGAATTTATTTCCCTGTGGTTGTAGGACTGAGGTCCATTTTCTTGTTGGCTGTCGGCCAGGGGTTGCTCTTAGTTGTAGGAGGCTGTTCACAGGTCTTTTCCATGTGGCCCCTTCCATCTTCAAGCCAGCAATGGCACACTGAATCTCCCTCCTGGCAAATCTCTGATTGCCAGCTGGAGAAAATGCTCTGCTTTTAAAGGGTTCATGTGATTAGGTTAGGTCCACCCAGATAATCTCTTTATTTTAAAGTCAACTGATTAATGAACTTAATTATGTCTGCTAAATCCCTTTGCCATGTAATGTAACATAATCACAGGAGTAATACCAAGGGATAGAGACCATGAGGGCCACTGTAAAATTCTGCTACCATAAAGGGATAATTGTGTTATAAGCTATAGAGATTTTGGAAGACTGATTTTTTACTGCGGTAAAACTGACTAATGCAAGTGGTTACCTGAAATGTTGTCTGTGCACATGTGCTAATGTGCATGTAGAAAAAGACACAAATCATAAGGGGCAGCTCAATGAATTTTCACAAAATGAACACACTTGTAGCTGTACATCACAGCCCCAGATTAAACAAATAAGTAAAAACAAACAAATAGACAAAACCCGGAACATTAGTAACACCACAGAAGCCCCTTTCCAGTCATTTCTCTCTCCCTAAAACAACCACTATCCTATCTTCTAAGACCATAGATGATTTTTGCCTGATTTTGAAATCTTTTAAATGGAATCTGGCTTCCTCCTCTTAACACTACATCTACGAATTTCATTCCTATTGTTGCATTCAGTTTTTGTTCCCTTGCTGTATAATATTCCATTATATGAATATGTCTTAATTCGTTTTTTCATTCTACTGTTGTTGATAGGCATTTGCTTAATCTCCAGTTTTTAGCTATTACAAATAATGCTGCCCAAACTGTTTTGGTAAAGCCTCTCCCCCTCTCTCGCTCTCTCCCCTCTCTCTTTCTCTCTTTCCTGCCTCCCTTTTCTCTCTCTCTCTCTCTCTTTCTTTCCCTTCCTTTCTTCCTTCTTTCCTTTCTGCCTGCCTTCCTGCCTTCCTTCTCTCCTTCCTTCCTCCCTTTCTCTGTTTCTTTCTTCCAGATGCCTTCATATCCTAGATCTAACCTTCCTTTTCCAAAAAAAGAAGGGAACCCAATTTGGTTGTCAATAACTTTCAAAATTAATCTTTAAGAAACCTCTGAAAGATAATTTTGAAAATCACAATGAATGGATTCAGACCAAGTAAGTAGGAAAGTGAAGGAGGGCCAAAAGCAAGATAGGATTTCACACCCTTGGTTTATCTCAGGGAGGAAACTGCTTAGGTGAGACCAAGATCATTTCAGCCATCACTCTGAGCAGAGACATGCAATGTTGCAGGAAACAGCATAGGCCTGAGGCACCATTTAGGGATCTGAATCTGGTTCCTTTTTTTAGCTGGAAACCATGGGAAGCCACTACCTCTCTGAGCTTCATTTCCCTCACCCGTCATAGGGACAATGATGCCCACTAAGATGTTTAGGTCTCTTCCTACACTTCTACCCCTTATGCAAAAAACAACAGCACATTTTGCCCCAATCCTACTCCACCATCAGTTCTCTGGTCTTTTCAGCCCTGCTTGTACCCCAGAAGACTGACCTCTATAGACTCCATCGCCTGGCTCCATTATTATTTTTCTTCCAATTGGGTTCAGCCAACAGGAGGCACTGGCAGGAGGTTGGAGAGAAGGAGGGGAAAGAGGTTGGGTTACTGCCTTGCACACACACTGCTCCCTCCCTGCCTTCCTGCTGTTCTAGGGTGGCTGCATTCCTCTAAGGCCATAGCTCTTCCACAGCTCTAGCCACCACCAGCTGCAGTGACACCTTTGTCCCTCTTGCACTTTAAACCTAAGGGTGATCATGATTTCCCATTGAATAGTGCTCCACCATCCCTTGGTTTCTTAACCCAGTCTATACTTCTGTAAATAATCCCTTTATTATACTCTCCTGAGGCTTACGCCCTTTGAGTGGATCAGCCTTTACTGAGATGTCCCTGATAATAGAGAAGGGAGCCCAATCAGATTTTCAAACATGATGGAGAATAGGAAACAAGTTGAAGGTCAAAGAAAACCAGAGATTCAAAGAATCAGGGAGATGAGGTGGAGGAATGATGAGTTGTAGAGTCATATGAGCAGTTTCTGCTAAGTACTTCACATGCATGGCATTCAAACTTCACAATAACTCTATGAGTTGGCATGATAACTACCTAATTTTAGAGGTGAGTAAACCATGACTTAGAGGGGTTAAGTAATTTCTTGAGGTCACTCTTTAGTAAGTGGCAGAGCTAAGATTTCAATCCAGGACCTTTGTCTCCCAAGTCCATGCTCTTAAAGATACACTGTACCTACACTGTACTTACTTTTCTTTGCAGAAAAGGAGCTATAGTTTACTGCTGGCTTTATACACTCTCAAGACTCAGTGTGTGGCCTGATTGGCTATCTTGAAGGGACAGATATTTTGGAGATATTAA